CCCCTCATTCTAATACAGTCCTTATTGCTATAAAAGGCTATACAATTGGCTTCTACCGACTCCTGCAAAGCAGGTTCACCGTTTCTCCAGTAGGTGGCACGATATACCTCGGAATAAGAATTTCCATGGTCAAACTTGCATCACCCTTTTCTGGCAAACACGGTGTTTTCCGATAGACTTACGAAAAAGATTTCAGGTATATTTATTGTGATAGTTTTTAACCCATTATTTTCCTTCCTTTCTCTTTGCTAGCCACAACTTAATACATCACATATATGATTAGCCTTCGCCGTTATACAATAAAGCTGTATGTTTTCCCCTTTGAAGACGAGCTCATTAATAAGCTCTGTTATCATTTATCCACAATTTACACGTGGATGAGTAAGACCCTGTTACTGCAGACCGCCTTCCAGTTTCACTTGGTTCCCCTCAAAACTTCCCAATGCTGGAGCCGAAGGCAGATAACGGGAATCCGCCTCACGCTCTCACCGCTTCCACAACAAGCATCTGCTGCCAACTGGAGTAACTTCTATTCCCGTCTTAAATAACCTTACTAGAACTTCCCAAAAGAAGCAATATCGTCACTGTGAATGGAAAAACTACGGCAAAACTTTTGAAAGTCTGGTCGGAGTAACTTGAAAGTGACAGCTGGCCCGAAAAGGATTTTTAAAGCGTAATTATTTATTTGGAGAACTAGTCAAAAGGTTGCAACTGGATTTACACGATCACTTTTCTAACAGTCTTCACATCATGGTACATAAATATGGTAAGTTCCGTTAAAACAGTTAGCTTCAGTTGTTTTAAGAAGACGATATCTTATAAACATTTGGCAGTGATTTAATTGTTTTTAACGTTTTTCAGTTTCGATATATGTGTATTTTCCTAGTAGGAATCTTTTGGAAACCCCAAGGGAAACAGGAAGCATTAGACTGAAGTGAGATTATGTAACTTTTAATAAAACCGCTATTCTTTACATAAGCTCAATGAATGTCAAGTGTAGCATAGGCGACATACTGACTCTGTTTAACCCATCACAATCTGTGATGTTTATGTGGAAACTCCTTATCTCTTCTTCCCTTAAACCTTTACCAGAAAGATTCAGAAACCCTCAAAATGTTTTTATGCTTAAAAATCTGTCAATGCCACTGTTAGCGAAGCATTATTTCATTTAAAGAAAGCATAAGCACCATTTTCAATAAAAACTTTTAACAACAAATGTTTAAATAAACCTCACAGGCATTGTTATTGCTGTTGTATTGCTTATTGGATACAACAGATACATTTTCAAGCTCATATACTATGCTGAACTAAACCTGTGATTACTCTTATAGGACACCTGTGTGAACATGACAACTAACTGGTTAACTGTAAAACTGGTTAACAAAATTGTAGCATCACTTATTATCTAAAGCATTTTAAGTGTGACTTAGGTGTCTAAATTTTTTTTTATTCTTTTATTTTTTTGCTACTATATGGTCCCTTTTATTCCATACGAGTAACCCACCAAATAAGACAGGCTGTTATGCAAGAGTAATAATTCATTTATTTTTATCTGCTTGCTGAAAAACTGTTGTTAGACAGACCTGGTTGAGTTGAACATCTGGCTGCACACCCCTTCTAGGGGTTCTTGTAATTATAGGCAAGTAATGTCAGATTTCAAGCATCTAGCATAGTGCAGAGCCTTTTCAGAATTAGACATGCATCTAAAAATGTCTTCAGACTGTCAGAAAGCATATGTAGGTAATGGAGAAAAGGCATTAAAATGAGTAGGAGTTGTACTGAAATAGAAATGCTTGTCTTTTCTTTTATTTCAGATACCAGAAGAGCAGTTGGGCTACTGAAACAGTACCAGGCTACTCTGACCAGCCCAGAAGAGCAGACCCTGAAGACCAGCGTGGAGAAGGTCTCTTCCATCTTTGGCAGTCATCTTTTTCAGGCTCTGTTGGGTGAGGTTTGTTTCTGTGTATGGCTCTCAAAACAAATAATGATTAACTGTCATTATTTAGGGCTGTACCACTTGATTCCAGTACATTCTATACCAATCAAAATGTTCCAAGAAGCCACGTTATAGTTTGTTCAGCTTTACTAAACACTGCTGATATTTTTCTAAATGGTACATTTTATTTTCTGTCCATGGACCAGCTGCCTCAATTCCCTCGTTTACATTAACAATGGCTTTAGGATATAATAGTTTCACCAAATAGACTAACATTACTGACGCTGCCTTACAAATTATGAGTTTTACGAGTTACTTATTTCGTACATGAGAAATCAGACCCATTGGAACTTGCTCATCTGTTGCACTCATTTCCATTATCCAAGTTTTGAATTATTGGATTAAGCCACATGAATAGGTCCTTTCAGAATAAAAACAAAAGGTTGTCTGTTTTTAAACCGAAATCTTACTAAATGGGTCCTCACTGCTGTCTCTAATGGCTTGATCTTTTGCATGTATTTGAGACTTTCAGAATGTTTACCGAAGTTTGTGCCACTGTTCTCAAGTTACACAACGAGTCAGACTTTCACAACCCCAGATGATTTAGCAGTACTGTGGATGTGCTCTGTCACATTTTAATGATGTCTCACAACAAGCCAGAATAAGAAAATATACAAGTAACAATAGGTATCACTGTCATGCCAGGTGCATCTTACAAATATACGATATTTCCTAACTTATTTTTAGTTTTTGTCCTGCAAAGGAAACAAATTAGTCCCATTACGAAATGGTTGAGTGGTTATCTTAATTACCAGGCCCAGGCTTTAATGAGGCCTGCCTGCTGCTGTTGCTGTGATTCAGAAGAGTAGTACCACAGGGGCCGGGATCAAGCCTATGGGGTTACGTTGCCATAGGACTGTAGTGAGGAGAGGGACAGGTTTCCCCTGATCTCAACTCATGGGTTTTCTCATATGCCATTGGGCATGACAGGCTTATGATGTTGTATGTGATACTGTTGTGCATGTGAATGCAGAGAAAAAAGTTTGATATAAAGTCTATTTTATTTAAACCTGTAAATATATAAAGTATATCAAGTTTATATAATTTAAAACAAAGATGCTACAATTTTGTGAAAATTATTATTATTATTTTTTTAAGATTTCAAAGTATATAATACAAGTAAATTTCTTAATTTTTTGATCACATACACTACTCTCAAATGCAGTAAAATCATAATACTGTGGAATATTACAATTTAAAATAGCTGTTTTCTATTTAAATATATTTAAAAATGCAATTTATTCCAGTGATGCAAAACTGAATTTCAGAAATCATTCTAATATACTGATTTGCTGCTCAAAACATTCTTATTTTTTACTATGTTGGAAACAGTTATGTTGTTTAATATTTTTTGAAACTGTGATTTCAATCTTTGATGAACAGCATTTATAAGAAAGAGAAATATCTTGTTAAAATCTGCCATTTTTGAACAATTTCATGCATCCTTGCTGAATAAAATTATTAATTTCTTAATAAACATTACTGACCCCAAACTTTTTGAACAGTAGTGCATAAGTTGTTTCCTTTTTTAGTCGAAAATCATTTGGATTCTGTTGAGGGGATTTTACCTTTTATTATGATACCTCTGGTGTTACAGGAAGTGTCAGTCACTTAAATCTTCCTGTTTATTTTTTCATAGTGGTAAGCTTTGTGATTGAGGGGTAAAGGGTATTATCATTTTTTTAAACAAATATGGCTCCTGCCGCTGGCATTTAGGTATATATACTTTCCTGTGCCTCTAATAAAGCTGTTTGACTACAGCAGGCCAAACAGATGTTGCAAATACTCTCATTTATCAGGCTTTAAATCAGTCATGAGAGTCTCAGCTCAAAACTGGCATAGCACAGTAAGAGGATAAGGATTCCACACATTCCAGAAAGAGGCTGGATCATTAGCGGGAATGTGGGATAACATGTAGGTTGATTGATAAACAAATAGCTCTTGGCTGCAGTGAAGTACTCCCATCTGACCTCAGGCCAGATTAAGCAGAGAGTATCGCTTTGTGCAGGACGGCCCATTCTCTCTCTCAGGTACTGGGGAGAGGGGTCATGTGAGGCTGAGCTGAGAGCAACATGTGGTTTCAATCGTCTCTCCAGCCTCTTGGGTGTTGGCCAGAGTTAAAAAAGGGAATACAGTATGAATTCTAGCAAAAATTAGGCAGATTAAGAATGTATTGTCAGATGGAAAATATTAAAATTATATTATTTTATATGAAATATTATAGTATTTTTATATTATATTTTGATTTGCATTATTATAGTTTAATATAGCTTTTAATATTGGGGTTTTAAGTGACAAAATATCATGCGGTTATACATGATGTTTAATCCTCAGTCATTAATCTCATTCACATAATTGAAGTGTTCTTAGACTCTTAAGTTGAAAGCCCTTTGTTTGTTGTGGCATCAAAGAAAAGTGATCATCGAATATATTGGGGATACAATGAGGCTTGTAACAATTCAGTTCTGTGATGCGCTGTGGGAGGGAGGAAGATTCGACCGTGGGCTTGTTTGGTTGTCTGCATGATTGCACAATTTCGAACAAAGGTTTTCCTAACTGCACACTCATCCCTTTGTTTCCAAACACACAAACAGACTAGGGATCACACAGGTTTTGTGCCCAAATATGACCCAATATCAAGGCAGGGCTATTTTTATTGCTGGGGAAAACAGTCCATTATTCCTCAGTACTTTCTCAGTACTTAGTACAGAGTTTCGTTTTGTGTTATCCTGTTTTAGTTCCTTCTAGACAGTTTTCAGTATTTATATATATACTATAACGAGTCAGCCTACTTCACTTTCACCTTGTATCAAGTGCTTTTTAATTCTCACTAATGCTGCATTTATTTAATCAAAACTACAGCAACAGCTGTAATATTGTGAAATATTATTTCAATTAAATATATATGATAACAACAGTTGTGCGGCTTAAAATGTCAATATTTCAAAAGAATGGTATTTATTTTAAATAGATTTTTTGTAACGTTATAAATATCTGTACTGTCAATTTTGATCAATTTAATTCAATAAAATTATTCACAAAAATATTACTGACCCCAAACTTTAGAACGGTAGTGTAAGTCTGTTGAGGACCTGTTTGCTTTGAAACAAAATGTCACAGTAAAAAATGTAAAAATGTTATAGCTGGGTCACTGATCATAGTTTTACAATGTACCTACAGAGGAAAAGCGGTGAGAATTATATTGAATTCACAGGATAATACATGTAGTTTGTACTGTAAAATATTTTGTAAATGAAGTAGGGCTGCACAATTATGACAAAAATCATAATTGTCGATTATTCCCTTGAAATTGTAATTGTGATTATTAATTACGATTATCACAATTTACATTGAATGATGTTTATACCATTGTTTGATGCAACTGCATGCCGTATTTTTATATGAAAATAAACAAGCTGAAAACACTAACTGAAAAACTTTTAGTGCTTTTCTATAGTATTAAGCCTCAAATGTCAACTATATCATCGGATTGGTTTCTTCTTTAAATTATAAAAAAAGTAAAAATATGAATGGTATTATAGTGTTATACTAAAACTAAAATTAAGACAATGGAAAAACCCTTAAGATAACATGTAGACAGAAAGAAAAAACGCATCTTAAGCACACAGAATAACATAAGTGGACTTTGAACGATTAATTGCCGCTTTGAACGATTACGTAATTGTGGCATCCATAATTGTAATCGCGATTAGAAATGTGATTAATTGTGCAGCCCTAAAATGAAGTATATTTTACCATATAATATGAATGAACTGTAACAGTACTGTTTTAAACTATAAAATATAGTTTAGAATCAGTATATGTGGGAAACTGGTTCAGGATGGTTTTTAACATAACACCCGAGTGTTAAAAGTCAGTTTTCAACAAATCAAATGTGTGTTAACTTAATATTGACATTGAAATTAGGTGAACCAAGTGAAAAGGAGAGCAGTTGTGTAAAAATGATTCTGTGTAGAGGACTGTGTAGTTAAGCAAAAGTACTTTGTGTTTTTTGTTCAGTGGCCAGGAATTTATGTGGTCTTTTAGGATTTACTTGGCTCTGGGAACATTCTGCTGAAACACTTTTTTTTTGGAGGAAAAAAAAAGTATAATTTCACCAGGACTTAGTCTGAAATAAATGTGCCCGTATATCAAAGTATGTTAGTCTGTTTTACAGAACCGATTTTTAACATTCAGCTGTAAAAAAAAAAACATTTTAGTGCACACACAATCTGTTATATCCATGACAGTAAGTAGCCCTAGACATGAATAATCATTGATGTTGCCTGCTATGTTTCACTCAATAATGCATTTGAGGGGAAAGGTCTCTTCGATGAAGACATAATTCATACTCACACGTCTTCAAAGACATTCAGGACAGCTTTACTAAATGAGGAGGTGTTTCTGTCTGACACACTTATGCATTTCCATTCATCCTACAGCTGCATGTTTTATAATCATGCAGCATTTAGTGGAAGACTCTACGCTTTAGTTTACTTTCCCCGTCGCTCTCTTTCTTTTCTCCGCTCTCTCTATTTCTCATCTGGCTCTTACCAGGCAGGCGATGAAACCGCTTCCCACACACTGTTCTCCTCCCACTCACACAGGCTCACACAGACACAGCCATGATGAGTCACATAGCCCCATTCTTCTACTATCTTTCCCGCTGCACCCCAGTGGGACTCCATTACTGCCCCTAACAGCTCCCCCCCACACACACGTACATGGTCCGCATACGCCGCCAGTCCGAGTGCACTGCTTATCTGTCCAAAAAAAGAGTTGCTTTTCTCTCAAGCTCTTTCTTCTTCCGTCTTAAAAAAGACTTGCTCGTTTCTTCCAGTGCAAAGTGGGCCGAGAGCGCATTATGCTTCAAAGGCACAGCGAGGTAACAAGCATCTCATTATGTTATTAGTGCAGGCTGTGGGCCAGTGTGGGAGTGTGGGTGACATCAGCAGCATTGTCTCCCTCCATTCTCATCAGCTGGTCGTCCCTCTGTTAGTGACCACAGGCCACGGCAGTTAGTGACCTGAGAGGTAATGAGGTAAGACGTATAGAGAGGAAGAAAGGGTGGGGTGAAGAAACAAATCATTCTTGTTGGAAGGGGGGAAGAGGTGGTTTGGGGATACGACCAGGACAATAGCAGTCCCGTTAGGAGACCAGAAACATCCCAATCTTTGATGTAACCGTCAGAAGTTATTAAAATAGACCTTTGTAAGTATTAAATACGTAGACATGAACACAAGCAAGAATGCTGTTGTTCAAAGAATTGCAGCCATTCTGATATTTAGACTACCAGAATGATTATGATATTGCCTTTGTATTGATTTTGAGTTACACAATATTTTGAGATACTTTGTCCATTTTTTACAAGTTCAACCTTTGTCTCTGTGCAACACACAGTTCTGAATAAATCAATATATAATTGAATCGGTTGAGTAAATGATTCACTCACTCAGGAGTGTCATTTATTTCCCAAAATAATCAGTGCTTTTGAATTAAGCATGGTAAACTGTGGTAAACTAAGCGAATAGTAAATTATAATGTGTCATTGAATCTCTCATAGAGACACTTGTCGTCACCTACTGGCGAAACAATTTAAACCTTCAGAAAAAGTCAATGATGAACTGACGGTCTGTTTTTAACACACAAACAAACAAGTGCCTTGTTTGGGGCCATATACATGCAAGTTGCGGTCAGATTAGTGAAATTTTGGCAAGACTTTGTTGGTAAAACAGGTCCACTGTTCATTGTTACAGAACTTACTTTCAAACCAAGCAGCTTTCTGTTGGATGATTCACTCACTCAGGAGTGTCATTTATTTCCCAAAATAATCAGTGCTTTTGAATTAAGCATGGTAAACTGTGGTAAACTAAGCGAATAGTAAATTATAATGTGTCATTGAGTCTCTCATAGAGACACTTGTCGTCACCTACTGGCGAAACAATTTAAACCTTCAGAAAAAGTCAATGATGAACTGACGGTCTGTTTTTAACACACAAACAAACAAGTGCCTCCACATTTTAAGACCGGAATTAACTGTCGGTCAGAGCAGTTAAAGGTGGAAAGAGCTGCAGTGGACAAACAAATTGTTTAATAATCAAATTCTGAAAGTGAAAATGATTTTGACCATATTTTAGAATGAACTATGAAAATATGGGGCCATATACATGCAAGTTGCGGTCAGATTAGTGAAATTTTGGCAAGACTTTGTTGGTAAAACAGGTCCACTGTTCATTGTTACAGAACTTACTTTCAAACCAAGCAGCTTTCTGTTGGTCAGCGAGCGAATATGCTTGACCAGTTTGAAGACGAGTGCAATTTGTGTGGGGAACTCCAGATCACACGGATTCCTATTAAAATAACTGGAATTCTGCTCAATTTCTCTGCACAATGTTAAATGTGACTGCACTGTACTTGATTAGGCATGTGTGAAAAAAGGGGACAACCACTTCGAGGATTCGATTTATATATATATTTTTTTGTCTAAATGCTTGTACCTTCAGAAAAGCTCAACAATTTGTTTGATTCCAGTGGTCCAAGCAGGTTTCTCATGTTCTGATTTTATGTGAATACTTATAATCCCACAGCTCTGCTCTAGTGTGCACTGATGATTTTAACATGCTATTCCAATTGTCCCAATTTGCACAAGTGTAAACATTCAACACCAGAGCCACTGTTACCTCTGCTAATGTCTGCAGGCTCTGCGCTGTCATGAGTGAGTCATGTAAAAAGTGCCTCTAAGTGAATGTGATTGCTCCGGCTCTCTAAACCCAGTATGGACAGGAATTTTGGATGAGGCCGCTGGATGATATTTATAGAAACCCACAATAGTAGGAACGATGCTCAAGTTGAGCCAAAAGTTGACATTGGTCTTGACCTTGCTCACTGTACACCTATGCTTTTTGGCATGGCTTACAGACTTACTAATCTATTGATGGGGCTCATGAAATGTTCACAGAAATGAACACTTTGGCATAATTTACTCACTCTCATGTCTATGGAACCCCTAAGGGGACATGTTGATAGAAAAATTGTATTTCAATGCTTTTGTGTTCGCTCGAAAAACATTTGCGTTGTAAAGTTTCTTGGGGAATGCAAATGTTATGCTCAAGAATACAAGGTTCCTCATGGTAGTGGAGAAGTTTTGCAAGAAAAGCCCAAAGTATTGAAATATATATTTATTCCTCTTACCTCAGATTAATTCCACCACAAATGTTTTGTTATTTGAATGCAAAGTCCTCCCATTTTTTTTTTTAACAATCTTTGCATCCCTTTAGGGGCTAAATACATATTTCTCAGAAGCCTGACTGACGTTCTTCTGTGAAGCACAAAATGAGAAATGTATAGAATGTTCAAGCTGCTCTTTGCCATAGAAGGCAAATGGTGTCCAAGGATGTTAAACAAATGTTTAAAGCAAGATTTCAGTGAATAACAACTGTGAAGTGAAGAACAAATCTATTTTATATCTTCATAAGACTTCAAATATAGCACACAAGCATGAAGTACTTTTATGGTACTTTTATGATGATTTATTATGTTTTTGGTCCTTTTGGGAGTTCTTGGTTCCCATCCACATTCATTGTATGAAAGAGAGAAATTCAGATATTCTGATAAAATTCTCCTTCAAATGTTTCACGCAATAAAGTAAGGCATACAGGGTTGTAACAACTTAAAGGTGAGTAAATGACAATTGTAAATGGGAAATTTATTTTTTGGGTGAAGTAATCCTTCTTTTTTTTCTCTCTTGATAAATGCTGGAATGCCAGCCTCATTTATACTATACATTTATTATTTTATATATTTTTTCTTTGTTATTAATCTAAAAATGCAACAGAGGTATTACATATTTCAGCATAAATACCTGCATTATTTAAATAGATTCCCTCAATGACATCACTATTCCATTATTCTCAGATATTCAGGAATGCTACGAGGTTACCCTGCAAATGAATGCAGCGCAAAATGGAGTTAAAGACCGCATCTCTGTGGACACATGGGAGGTAAGAGCTCTAGAGATAGGGCAGCTATATTTTACTCACCCTTATGTTTTCCAAACCCTTATATCTTTGTTATCCTTCATGAATCTGACTGATCTGGTTCTCAAGTTTAGCTCACTGACAGGTGAAGCAGTTAACAGCTCACAAATAGGAAGATTATCAGTGAATATCTTAAATTTGACCTGTTATTCGCACAAAGCTGTCATATGGTTTCAGAAATGTAGATGAATCCTATTGACCATATTTTATGATACTTTTGTAGTGCATTAATATCTGTCCCCAGTACTTTTCTTTGTCACCAATAACAGCGATTAGCACAGACAAAGATTTAGAAACAACATAGGGGAGGGAAGTTTACAGAGAAGTTCTGGACAAAAATAGAAAAAAAAGGGAAAGAATGAAAGAGAGAGCATGTGGAAGTTACAGACACTACAGAACATTAGTCATATCTAGAAAACAGTGCAGTGGTAACACCAAGTGCTCCTCGGTGGGCTGTGATGATGTCACCAGGACCTTTCGTTACAAGTGTCTGCAATCATGTGACTATGCAAAGTATTTATAGGGAGAGTACAGAAAATAACCTCAACTTCTGTCTGGATTCTGTTAAAAGCAACTGCAGTGAGGGAGGATCACTCTGTGGTCTCTCTGAGGGTTCACACAAACATACACTCGGGTTTGACTAAAATAGTGTCTGTTCGTCCAGTAAAGGAGCACCCTGTGACTGATGTTTTTAAAAGATTATAGAATGAAGTTTGCCATCATCTCAATGGTTTCAGACAATCCAAAATCAGAGAGATTCTGTGGGAAATTCTGTGGAATTATTCAATCTCTCAGCTCTTTCGTCACTATCTGACTTCATCCAAAAAAAAAACGTCATCCTTTCTCTGCCTAGCTTGTACTTATTTGAACAATGCTTGAAACTTGGTATGACGAGCACTTCCTGTGTCTATTTGCCTCTTTAAGATGAATCGCTTGATGTATTCCCCAATTGTAAGTTGATTTGGGTAAAAGCATCTGCTAAATTAATACATGTAAATTGTTTTGTTTTTTGTTGCAAACAGCTTTGCAAACTCAATTCACTCCAACTCTTACTACACCGCAAAATCAAGAATGCTTGTTTAAACTGTTTTCAACAAGGAATAAAGCAATTTCCTATAGCTTCTTATAAGCTGATGGGGTTTAGTTAGTGTTCATAGAAAATCGGGCTAGAATATCAGGGTAAAATTCTTACCAATACATCCAAAATATATCTTTATAGCTTGTAATACCTGAAAACACTGCACAACAATCATGTAATGCAATGTGTTTTTAAGACCCATGAACTTAGTCTGAACTAGAATGTGCCAAAAAGATGTCAGTAATCACAAGATTGCACTGGATGGATTAGTTAATACAGATGATAGGGATGTAAGTAGGTTATCCACATTGTTTAAAGAAAGATTTTATGGAAAAACTAGACTTTTGATTAAGTAATACACGCATTTGAGTTATTAAATAGTTGTTAATAGTTATTAAAATATATAATGTATGTATGTATGTATGTTTTTTTCATTTATTACAGTGCAGTATTCAAAAACATGTACGTATGTGAACAGGTAAAATGGTTGTGGTAGATGTTCAGGTAAAAACCCAGCAACGATTGATATTTATGCAGTTTTGATTGAAGCTAAACACATTAATGAAACAAATGAAGAGCGGACATTTGGACAGTCTCTGTGAGCATAATCGTCCCCATTTCAAATCCCCAACTGGCAGTTTCCAGAAGCATCATCTTATTGTGACACATGTTCCGCAAAAATACTGCAGGGGTCACTATGTGATGTGTGGTGGAGACAGTCACAGGCCTCAGTCTGAGTCTGTGTCCAGGCACAGCCCTGTTCTGTGGTTCTCTGAGAGCGAGCGAGGCTGGATCTGAGTGAATGTCCAGCTCAGGCTTCATTAGCATTCATAGCGTGAGGTCACCTGAGAGACTTTAAATGAAATGAGTCTGCAAATTCCCCGATTTGGTGCAGAAGGAAGAAAAAAAGACGCTGGAATAATTTACAGCACAATCATTATAAAGCCTTTGTGTTAAACAGCAAGGGGCAGTGGGTCTTCCTTTTGTGTTTTATATTAGCTACAGTTACAGTCTGTAATATAACAGTGTTACGTAATTTGGTATCTGTTTTATATCTGGGAATGCTGGTTAAAAATGTTTATTTAAATGTATCAAGCAGTACATAATTCAGCCTCAGTATATATAGCGAGCAGTATGTCATGTGTCAGCAGTGATTCAATGGCACTGGACACCAGCAGCGCCTCCATGTTCCTCTCTGGGTTTGAGACTGCAGCAATCCTGCATGTTCTCGGCTGCAGTGTCCATCTCGTAACTGAGCTGGTGATAATATGACGGCAAACCTGGGGCTTGGCAGCAACTATTTTTCCAATCATTTCATGGTGGTCCAATGAAGACAATGATAAAAACGGTAAATTTGCATTGTGTTTTGTTAAATGTTGCCTGAAGGTAGTTTTTTTGTGATTGTAGATGTGATTGTATTTGTGCCTTTTTTTTTTTTTTGCATCAACTTAAATGGGTGTGGCTTGGCCTACTGCTGCAACCCTGCATGCCTCTGTGTGTTTGTTTATATGAATACACACTCTTATGAGAGTATCAGAATGGGACAAATTCTAAACGAATATTCTAGAGTTGAGTTTATTAGCATTTGGGAAGGGAAAGTGAGAGAGCCTTTGTTCCATCCGCTGTCATGGCCTTTTCCAAAGGCTGCCCTCTGCTGCCTGTGGCCTGTGAGTGCGTGATACATTATGATAAACAGGTAGGAACTAATCTAATCAAGCCTTGGTTGTGAATATTTTAAAATGCTATATATGAAAATGATGTCAGATTTTGAAAGATGTTATAGTTGTGGATTGTGTTTTAATGTGTGTGTATGTTTGCTGGCACTTGTTTTCTCTTTTATTATAATACAGATGTCTGTCCATCCAAACCGTCTTGCAAATGGTACTATTTGTCTCTCTGTGATACTTTCCGGTCACATAACAAGTAACTCTTAGTGCCCATGCTGGAATATTCCACAGCCCAGGAGTGGTTGTTCAGTTGTTCATTGTGAAAATGATTTTCCTGTGGAACTCCACATAAACAATTTTGTAAAATTACGGTTCCACTTTAGTTTATTTTACTAGATTTATTTTATATATGTAAAAATACATAAAAAAAAAAAATATATATATATGAATTGGATCAGAGCATTTACATTTTTCATAGAGTTAGTTATTAGATTTTATGATGCTTTTTGCTATATATTCAGCACTCTAACCACTAGCTTGGACTACGTCGAATACCTCATATTGAATACACTGAATATTGGTTACATCAATTCAATTTGTATTTGTATTTGTATTTTTTAGTTATTTTTATTTTACTTCTAGTTATGTTCTGATCTGTGTGATTTGTACTTGCAGACCTCGGGTGAGGAGGGTGTGTCACGGGTGCGAGTGACCAGCAGGAGGAGCTCACAGAAGGTGGAGAGAGTGGCTGGACTGGTAAGCCGCTCTCATATAGAGACACCAAAGGTCAGTGACTGCTAAAAACTTAATTTTTCTTTCAAAAATAGATTTATTTTATATATGTAAAAATACATTAAAAAAAATATATATATATATGAATTGGATCAGAGCATTTACATTTTTCATAGAGTTAGTTATTAGATTTTATGATGCTTTTTGCTATATATTCAGCACTCTAACCACTAGCTTGGACTACGTTGAATACCTCATATTGAATACACTGAATATTGGTTACATCAATTCAATTTGTATTTGTATTTGTATTTTTTAGTTATTTTTATTTTACTTCTAGTTATGTTCTGATCTGTGTGATTTGTACTTGCAGACCTCGGGTGAGGAGGGTGTGTCACGGGTGCGAGTGACCAGCAGGAGGAGCTCACAGAAGGTGGAGAGAGTGGCTGGACTGGTAAGCCGCTCTCATATAGAGACACCAAAGGTCAGTGACTGCTAAAAACTTAATTTTTCTTTCAAAAAATAAAGAATTTTGACCATATAGCATCTTAAAAATGGTGCTTTTAAATGTGTCATGAGATCTTTCCTGGCATGAGGACTTGTTACTGTGTGACGTAGAATGTCTACTTCATCTCAGTGCCAGTGCTCAATGGTTAACAATTAAGGACGGGCTAATGGCCTAGGATCAGTGCGGTTTTCAGCCTTTTGTGTTTATACTGCATTTTTAGATGCTGTCTGAAGTATATGCTTTCTTTTAGATGCTGTCTGAAGAAATAAGTTTCAGTGTTATACACAGCACAAAAAAAATCAATATCAAAACAGTTGATATTTTGGTTATAGCTGAAGCACAGCTCGTAAAAGTGCATGCTAGGCCTTATCCCTTATGGGCTGTTCACACAGAACTAGTTATTGTGTTTAAAAACGTGGGACGCAGGGCAGAATGGAAAGAAAAAAAGTCTAGTTAAAAGTTTGTAGAGTGCCATATCATATGCAAAATGCCTTAAATGACAAGCATGTCCATCTAGTGCATAAATACATGGAAAATCTATGAAAAACCAATGCAGTGGAATGCAAAAACACATTTTGTGTGTACGACCTGCCAGTATATAGGTTCTTTGATCATGCATATGTGTTTTTATGCCTTGGAAACTTTAAAATGTAGTTTTGAGTGATATGCTGAACATTGCAGTGGTGAATTTTGCTGAATAAAAGTTGAGGTTTTACATCAGCTAGAATGGGTTGGAAAATTATAAACAGATGACTGTATGGCATCCTTTTCCAGAGTTTGAATTTAGCATCATAATTTCCATAAGTATTGTAAATGAAAAACCTTTTTTTTTTTGTAAAGCAAATCTTTAATGGAAAATATAAAACAGAATTCCTTTGAACATATTAAAACTTTGTTTAAAAACATTCTGGTGCAGTTAAAATATCAGGACAGTAAATAGAAACTTTGCATAAATTCTTATTGTTGGGCTCTAGGTCATGACATTTTATACATATGATTATGATGTAATCATAAAACACATTTCCAGTGGTTCATTTTTGACCACAAGCTGATTTAGAGATGTTTTCCATAACACATATTCATATTAATGCATACATATGGATGCTTGCAGTGCGTTTGTTTGTTAGTTTGTTTGTAGATCGTAGCTAGGCTGCAGTGTATCTGAAACGGGAGAAATAAGCCACGATGATTCTATTAATCACCCAGTCTTTCAGAAATACTCTTGAGCAAAGGCACAACACTCAGGTCCTACTATATCATGGCAGATCTCATTTTCACGTCCTCCCATTCACAGCACCCCCAGCAGCATGTGGCGGCACATTGCCTGCGGGTGCTGGCGTTTCATATGAGCGGAGATCTAGCGTGAGGGACGGGGGGCGTGAGGTGGAGATGGCAGTGTGGGTGTGGTCTCGGGTCGTGGCTGAAGAGCGAGGGACCGCCGCGTTGAGAACATAGAGCCTCCATTGTCTACATCAAAGCACAAGGCAGCAGCATTCTGTTGACAGCAGGGCTGGCTGATGCTGAGCTGAATGTGGTGTCGTGTCTTCCACACATTAGGAGGGGTATGAGGTGGAAGGGAGGGATGAAGAGAGAGCTGCAGAGGGAATAAGAGTGGGGGAGGATGGGGGGAGCGATGTGAGGCAAGGGCCGGTGCAGTGCAACGCAGTTAGAGCTGGAACAGACACCTAGAGCTCAGCCTTCCGCATGTTGCCATGGAAACCAAATTCCTCCCCCTACTCGCATCCCTATAGACTGGCTGCCTCTCTCGCTCCTGCTCTCTCTGTCGCGGTTTTCCTGTCTCTGTTGCATCTTTCTGCATCTCTCATATGCGTTGAGTCACATAACATGGGAAAATTGTATGTGTTGCATCTGACAGGGTGTTTATGCGACGCTCGAGATGGATGAATGTGAGACGATATAGAATTAACAATGCAAAATATGTATTTGGCAGCACAAAGGAATCTCTCTCTGCATTCAGAATCCTCTCTATGATCAGGCTTTCTCATTCTCAGTCAAACATTTTGAGTTACCCCCCCCCCCCCCCCCCCCGTCATTTTCAGTCTAGTCATATCTTTCTCATGGTTGCATTCTTTCTTTACTTCATTTTACTTTTGCTCTTTTCTGTTTATCCTGCTCTCCAGGTCTGTGCACGATTCTTTTACTCATCCCTCTTCTCAACACCTACAACATCTCACCACGTACACACTGCAGCTAAATACGGATGTCACTCCTGTTCTGAGAGTTTAATCCTGTTTTGTACACATACAGCTCATTTAGGCAAGTGACATCCACAGTCTACTACCAAATTCACTTTAAACAAAGTAGTGAGATCCGAACTGCACAACGAGTTGATGATTACGTATTTAAAGACACATCAGAGCACTAAAAATAGTTCACACACAGTTCGGTTAAATGAAATTGGAAACCACACTCTGCACTCTGCATACGCTAAACAAAACAAAACAAAAAAAAATTCAAATTTACTGTCGGTTAAAGGGTTACTCCACCCCACCCCCATGTCATTCCAAACCCGTACAAGCTTCGTTCGTCTTCGGAACACGATTTAAGATATTTTGGATGAAAACCGGGAGGCTTGTGACTGTCCCATTGACTGCCTAGTAAATTACACTGTCAAGGTCCAGAAAAGTATGAAAGACATTGTCAAAATAGTCCATCTGCCATCAGTGGTTCAACCGTAACGTTATGAAGTGACAACTTTTCATTTGAAAAGTGGGTGGAGGGATTGAATTGCTTTACACACTGAGGAAGGCTTTGAGCCGAAACGTTTATGTCTTTTCCCATCAGTAATGAATGTAAAATAAAAGAAGATTGTTCTTGTGAGTGCGGATCATAATTTCCTATACTAAGTAACTCAACAGATTGACCCACCAAAATAAAAAGATCAAGTAACACAAGAGCGCCGTGCAAACGACGTTGTTAAAATATATGTTAATATGACAATAAAATACAACTACTATTACTAACAACAATAATAATAATAATTATAATAATAATTATTATTATTGTTAAAATAATAGTACTACTTATTATTACTACTAATTCTAATAATTATTTTTACTAAGTACAAATATTAAACACCAATGAAATTGCTAACTGTAATATAATAATTTTAATCATATAGTAATCATAATTTATAGTATAAAAATACTTTTATTTTACAGTACAACTGTACAATTTCAGTAGCCTACCAATATCTTTATAATCTTCATTTTCAATCATTAAACTATAAAAATTTCATTTTGGTGTAAAACCTCAGGGAGCCCTTAACTCTTTTCTTTTATTGACAACAGGTTTTTAAGTGTTACTCATTACAAGTTTGGGAAGATTGTTAGTGCATATTACGTTCCCAAATGTGTGTTAAACAATTGCGGAGATGAGTTGATGATTGTTAAATTATTGTTATTATTTTATTATTATTTACTGTAATAATTATTATTTACTGTAAGCCGAGCTGCTCTGAGATGCTAAAAACACCAGATCTCAAGCTGCTCACGTGTAAATGAACACAGTGCCACACTTCACTCTGAAACATGAAGCGCATATATTTAATGAAATCGAAGCCTTTGCAATTTGATAATCCATTTCGTTTTAATTAATCATGCAGCCTTATCTGACGTTATTATAGGCATTAATTAAAGGGGTCATATGATGCTTTTTTAACTATCATTATTTTGTGTATTTGTTGTAACAGAATATGTTGATATGCTTTAATGTTCAAAAAACACATTATTTTTCAAATACTGTACATTATTGTAGGTCCTCTATGCCCCGCCTCTCTCAAACGCTTCATTTTCTACAAAGTCCCTCCTTCCGACAAGCGCAGTCTGCTCTGATTGGCCAGCTGACCCAGTGCATTGTGACTGGCCAAACACCACAAGCACTCGTCGGAAATGTAACGCCCCTTACCATAATCGCGAGCTTCATCTTTCAAAATAAATGTAAAGACAGAGCCCGAAAGGGGAACAGAGTTGCATGACAGACACAGTGATGAAGCTGGTATGTGTTTGCAGTACACAAGCCACGGTTAAGACAGCTGACTCCACTGTGAT